CCCAAGCAAGAAGTTTCTTCATAGTATTTAAAAAATAAAAGGATAAGGAGGAGATGCTGTTAGTAACATGATGAGATAGACTTATATTGCACTCTTTGTGTCAAGGTCCATTTTAATGTTGTTAATAAAATTAAATCAGGTTTTATGATCAGATCAGAAACCAATGTTATGTAGAAGAGAAAAATAATTTCCCCCTGTTTATCTTATGGCTTTTTAAAATCTCTGTATATATCAAACCACTGCCATAACTTTGCTTTAGTCAGGACATTTATCTTTAAATTTTCAATATATTTATATTGTATTTAAAAAGTAAAAAACTTATCTCAAATGTCATTTAACATAAATTGATGCTAAGTATGAATGTGAAGCAAAAAAAAAAAAGTCACCTACATATTTTATCACCAATCGAATTTTTATTACAAATTACATACTTGAGCAGCTTCATTCACCCAGCCGAAGTCATTTCAGATGACCTTTTCCTCAGCAGACTCTGTCTGAACAGAATATTGTTCTGCTGCTAATTGTTTTGGACATAGTGTGTGAAAAATCTTAAGGGAGAGGAATTTTGTTGTTCAGGGTTCATAGTACATAATTTTGTTTGCATGTTTACTGCTGGCCTGTCAAAGTATATGAAGGAATAAATTTCTCCCACAGATCACCTAATCATGAAAATAACATTGAGGTGTTTGATTGACATAGTGAAGCTGTTAATTTAGAGTGTATCAAGATCAAATGGAAGTTATTGCAATTAGGAAATGTTTGTGTTCTCAGTTGAAATTTTTGAATGCTGCATTTTAGATTTTTGTGCATTTTTATGCTGTCTCATGGATGTATTGGGGAATTTCAATGGTTTGTTGCATTTAGATACATAATGTTCAACACAATTTCAGCATAAATTTTACTATTTTACAGTAGCTGATATTTAATTGATTGGGGAGAGTCGCTGTACATATAAAGTTTCTGTAGTCTACAGGGCTTTGGGGAACAATTATTTAACCAATCTGAGGTTCTGTTGGGTTTTTTTTTGGGGGGGGGGTTTGTTTGTGGTTTTTGTTTTTTTAATTTGGGGTATTTTTACAATTTTGGCTCAAAATATTATGGTATCAGGCTAAAATCTTCCTGTTTATTTCTCTGAGAATGGCTCCTTTATGATATGTTTAGAGGTTCCTGATCACTGTATAGTTTTTTTCCAAGGTTTATATGTGTGAAGTTGTATTCAATATATCATATATAGTAAGACCTTTGATGCCATGGTGTGGCACAAATGTTAGAGTTGGTATTTTCCTATCCATAGTCCTTGAATCTTAATGGTTCACTGTGGTGGTTTGGGTGGATTCACCCTTTTGCTTGCAGCCAAACACAGCCTGCTCTATCACCCTCCCCCCCCCCCCCCAGGGAGCAGGGGAGAGAATTTGGAAAGAAGGGCAAGGACTCACGGGTTGAGATAAAAACTATTTACTAATTAAAAGAAAATGATAATGATAACAACAGTGATAACAGACTATACAAATGAGTGATACACAGTGCTCACCGCCCGCTGACCGATGCCCAGCCTGTGCCAGCTAACGATCCCGCAGCCGAGACGGTCCCGAACCGAAACCCCGGAAGAGTGAGCCCGAGCGATCCCCGAGAGAATGTGTCCTGTCTTCCGGTCAACCCTGGTTATTATACTGGCATGACGTGATATGATATGGAATATTTCATTGGCACAACCAGATGCCAGTTTTGGGTTTTGCTCCTCACTGCACTTCCTCCCTCCCAGTCCTAGTGCAGCTGTGAAGCAAACACTGTGGCCTTGAGCTACAGCAGTAACTAAAAACACAGGTACTTTATTAGTGTTCTTCTCATGATAAGTCTGAACTGAAACACTGAAAGTAAAATACAGCTCTTCTAATTACTAAAAAGAAAATTAACTCTACCCTAGCAAAACCAGGACATTCACTTATTCTTGAAAGCCATATTTTTATCCGAAGTATTCTTAGAAAAAATTGTGGGATATAAAAAAAAAAATGTTTTATCTCTCTATTGCTTTCTTTTTTTAAAATCTACATTCAAGCGTATGATACTGACAGATGACACGTGGATTCTAGAGGGCAAAAGGCTTCTCATGTCCCTAAAATTGTAGACACAGGTATGGTGGTGAAACAAGCTGGCTTAGTTGAAAAAAAGTGTGAATGCCCAATGAAGTCCCTGCAGCAGTTTAGCCTTAACCCAGTAATGGTAATTTTTTTCTTTGGATGAGTCAAGCAATTTTCTCATGGCTTCAATACTTGTGTTCCAGTGCTGAGGCTGCTGTTTCTCATTTTTTCATGTGCATGATCTACTGACTCGATCAGCTGCTAACGAGCAGTTTGCTGCAGGTTTAGGCCTTAAGTCTTTTCACCTGCACACTCAGGTGTTTTTAGCTTGATATTAGCCTATTTCCTTATTCAAGACTGTAGAAAACAAGCAAGCAGAAGCCTCACATTAAGAATAGTGCTGAGCTGATAACACAACTCTTTGGTCTCGCTGAAGAGAAGAAGCATAAAGGCCATTAGCCAAATCCTTGGGGATGCTCACTGAGGTGCTCTCTCCAGTTGACCCTTTGGCATATAGAAGTGTACCCGATGGACACGGGCTGTGTGGGGAAGCAGTTCAGTTCTCTGCCCTGGGAAGGGAGATGACTGTGGCTGAAGTTCTGGCATATTTTTTAGAACAGTAGGAAATACTGAACAGGAGATTGATTGTAAATTTATGATAACAGTAGTAAAGAAAAATCCAATAAGCTTATGTGCTTCCTTGGATTACCCATACATCCTACCTTGGCTTTATCTCCCTTTCGGCTCACAAGCTTTTACTCCTGCTGTTCATTAAGGAACATGAAAGTGATCAGTGTTACAGAAACTAAAAGGTAGTGTGGATGTGTCTCAAACTGTTTTATTCTGCAGCCACTTGACAAAAGATGCACCTCAAATGTATGCTATAACTAGTGCTTTTGTGACCTAAATGGGAGAATTAGGTTTGTAATTTCCCCAAAATTTGGGAAATATTTTTTACATGCAGTATTTTTTCCATGGACACAGTGCACCTTTCCATTCCTGACAGCTAGCGCAGCTCATCTTGATTTTCATGAACAAAAGATGTATTTGGATATGAGATTCATAAGCAAGCCAGCTTAGCAATGGCACTTGGATACGGAGTGTTGGTTTGTTGTTTGTTTTTTTTTTAAATTGATGAAGCATTGTGCTTTGCTATAAACAAAAGATGGTTAGAGACAAGCCAATAGAGTCTAATGCAAGGGAAAGGGCTGGTGAACGCATTAAGGTTCATGCTTTTAACCAAGTGGGAAAAGATAAGAGCTCCTGTTTTTCTTCCCTTGGCTGTTCTGGTTCTCTCAGCAGTCTGACTGCCTTCCCATGTGACATTTTCGCATTGCATTTCTAGGTCAACGGTGACACAACTAGCATGCTTGTGCCCAAATTGATCATCTCAGTATACTGCACTCCACATGGCTTTCATATCCATCTTTGCTGTAGTCTGTCTTTGGATTTCAGAAGAACCTGTCAGCTTTGCATTTCTTCAGGTCTTAAGAAGGGATGGCTCAGCAGGCGCATGTTAACTTCTATGTGTTTTATCCTGCTCCAAATATCTGGGAATAAGAGAAAATAGGAGTGAGCTTTGCAAATAAATGAGGGTGATATGGGAAAAGTCGGTATAAAATCAGTGTCAGTAAGGGAAGTGATGCATTTGCCATATGGTTATGAAAAAAACCTGGCCAGATTAATTCTTCCAGAGGAGAACTTCCTACTCTTGGACATTACTATGCACCTTCTGGTGGATGTTCTCTTATTATTTCTCCTTCATGTGCGTGAGAGAAAACCAGCACCATTGGGTTTGTGAGCATCTTTCTGGAGGCCAGACTTTCTGGGCCTGCTTCAGAGAATTGCCTTTAAGGGCCTGACTTTTTTCTTTAATTGATGAAGTTATAACCAAAAGTGGTTGAAACCACTTTGCTATAACTGAAGGATGGTCAGAGACAAGTGGAGAATGTCTACTGCAGAGGACAG